GGAGAGCGCGGAGCGCGCGCCGCCTGCTGCGCCACAGCGTCGGTATCCTCTATATTTGAAAGGTAGCGACAATTGCACGCGCGCCCTCTCGGGTGGTCCACGGGTCAGCACTCCGTGCATCTACCGGATGCCTGAAACTATCATAGAGTTTCATTCAATACTTATTGTATCAAACTCTAAGCCTGAAACCAAACATTGTGTGGACTTGAACTGTTTAACTTATATGATTTGTTGCCTTAGACGCTCAGCAAATAGCGACCTGGATCCCGGAGGACGTTAAATTTGAAATAGGGAGAGGAACAACTTTATGGACGGCAAAACGAAGTCGTTGAATTTGGCTGGCCAGTGCTTCGAAGAGTGGTGGCCAGCAGCTCGCCACGACCTTTTCGATACAGTTAATGATAGCTTTGCCTGATTACGGTGGTCATTTGATCAGCGACTTCCACGCCTAGAGGGAGGAAGCTGGCCTTATTGCGTTTAGAGGTGCCACGTTTTCCCCTCGCATTCCCAAAGAATCTGATTTCAGGCAGCCGCAGTGTCGGCAGAGTGGTTAGATTACTTCCGTGTATATATTTTAGACAGCCGATGACGGCTGGGAAAAAGAGTCTTTGAATTTGCCTTCATATCGTACGTAGCCTGTTCCCTTGAGAAGTCTGCGTACGGGGCTGCGTATATATTTTGTGATTCTCTATACAATATGTGGAATTTCGTTATATGTGCGTTATATTTTGTTATGCGTTATATGATTTCTTGCAGCGAAATAAAACGCGTGTGTTTCCGGAACAGCTTCGGGACATTTTCCGACAGCAGCTGCCATGCAGGGCATTTGTTGCTTCGTTCTTCGCATATCTAGAATTCAGGCTAACTTGAAGTAGTGGTAACTTGATATTCCGGTGCGCTAATAGCGCTAGATTTGTAGTCTGAAAAAAAAAAGGGGGGGGGGAGATTATTAGCTTACTTCTACTTTCGGAAACCACATTGAGTACCTAGCATTCTTTTTGTGCGCAGTGCAAAATACGCTCTGTTCTTGCTTTCATTGCGTTTGTCAGCGTTCGCAAATATTGCCACGGTTACCTGGTATTTAAAACTACATGCTTATTTAGTTTATAAAGTGCTATAATTGGTTTAATTAGGGGAAATGGTTCCACTGCATGTGTGGAATATCCGCAACCACGCATAAGTACTTTTAAATATGTAAGAAATATTTCATTCCCACTAATGTTTTGCCCATTTTATTGTTTATTTGTTTTTTAAGGAACCACATTTATCCGAAGCCGTCCTCCTTTTACAACCCCCGCTGCCTCCTTGTACCGAATATATTGATACGCGTATGGAACTGTCGCTCCGGCACAAGCACTGAAATTACACCCAGAAGAAGGAAGACGACAATAGGGTTATTGTCAGTTCCATGCACGTGTCAATATAAAGGAATGTTGCGATGTTGCCCAATAAAATTTCATATTAGTCCGCCGTGGTGGAGCCGTGGTCATGTTGCTCGATTATTGACCCGAAGGTCGCAGGTTCGATTCTGAATCGAACCTGGAATGGTAGAGGCTCGTGTACAGTGCGATGGTCAAATTTTCTGGAGCCCTCCACTGCCACGTGTTTCATAATCATATCGTGGTCTTGGGACGTAGAACCTCAGATATTGTTATCAATTTCAAATTAATTTGGGGTATCTGCCCCGGGCTCCGTAGCCAGACGTAACCAGAAAAGCTCAGTTCAGTGAGGGAATAAAAGATGACTTATTTACAAATTGTGTTTTATATTGCAATAACTTTTTCCCAAACATGTTCTTTGGAAGGTTTGCTGCGAGGACCAGACCCATAGCCTGGGAAAAGCAAGCTCCTAGCCCCTCCTCCCCCCCGAAATTTGGATGGAGTTATGGGTTTCCTCGAGGACATTATTAATAGCCAGATGTTTCTGAAAACCTTCAACGAGTTCCCCCCCCCCCCCTCCTCTTTCGAAAAAAAAACAAAGTTCCTGACTACGCTTCTGGCGACCACTGACTTCCTCATTCACTTGAAAGGTGGCTGCCGTTCCTTCTGCCTTGGCCGGTGCGCAAAGATGGTCGGTGCGGCATATGGTTTAAGTTTTCACGGCCTAGTGACTTGGGGTATTATTTACTCGAATTCGCCAAAATAATTGTGGTTATCTAGACAAAATATCACGTCAAATGCTTCAACGAAAAAAAAAAAAACCTTAATCGACCTCGAGACTGAGACAAAACGCGGCTAGATATGGCAAAAAGAAAATAACCTCATATGTTTTTGTTGTGTGTTATCCTGTGAGTGCTAAAAACACACTGGTGAAATAAACAAAAGCACCTACTGTTGTGGGGTCCCGAACTATTTATTGCCAGAAACATGGGGCGTGGCCATGCAATGTTTACTGCAGTCAAATATGCAGCGTGGAGAATGCCGAAGCAATCAGCGTTGCTGCGATAAGGCTCATTCGTATGCACAAACAAAAGCACGTCATCCCGGTGAAAGAGTGCTTGTAGCTATAAAAATTACAAAAACGCTTACTTCGCATAACCGGGTGTTTTCTGTGGACTCAAATTTCTTGCGCCCGTTTTTGTGCGCAGATATTGTTGTCACCTTGAGGAACGACAAAAAAAAAATTGTCCGTCCTAGTAGCACCCGAACGTACATGAGTATGGCATATTAGCCCTCCAGCACGCCCCTATGGACTGTAACGCCACATTCGAAAAATACAATTCGGTGAGAAAATTCCTGCATCCACTCGAGCTTAAGGTCAATTGGCACTTCTAGTCCGCAACAACAATACACCAGAGGTACAACTCCACCCTTCAAACTTCAGACCTCCGTAGCTCCCGCCGACGCGGAGCTGCTGCCATTGGACCCTTTGGGCGGGGCGCGAAAGCGAAAAGGTCACTTGTTGCCAGCCGGCCTATCACAGGGTGCGGCGGCTGGATGAAAACGTTTCGATACTTTCGAAAGATAGAGTGGTTTTAACGTGGAGAAGAGTCCACCGCGGTGGTGCAGTGGTTACGGCGCTTGTATGCTGACCCGAAGGTCGTGGCTTCGATCGCGGTATAACTTGCATTGACGTCACAGTGGTCGTCATCTTCAGGTGCCTGCCGGTTAGGATGCTACGTGAACTTTTGCTCGACCGCGCGTAGCAAGAAACGGTGACCTCAGATTAGTGCCGGTGTCCCCTGCAATTATTTGTTCCCCTGGCGCGGCTGGCGAACAGAGGAGAGCGGGCTGAGCACAAAAGAGAGCGAGGGGTGAACGACTCTCTGTCTTCCAGTGCACTGGCACTCTCTAATGAGACAGAAAGTCGTGGTGGCCGCCATCTATAGGTACCCAGCGCAGAGAACCTGTCTGTGACACCACGTGCAAGTTCGGCACGGCGTCCCTGATAATCATATCAAGGTTCGAGTTTTTTTTTTCTTCCTTTTAACGTCTTTTTTTGCGCCTACAGCTCAGAATTCAGCCACCATTGTCATCAGCGCATAATTACAATTATGAAAAGAAATAATAAACACCAATTTTAGGGCTGCTATCTTTCTTCGCACTCCCTCCGGAAGTGTCCTGCTACTGTGGTCAAGTGATGTACTCTTTCTGCGGGGCGGGGGCATCACTATACTTTGCTTAAAAAAAAAAACAGATATTTACTCTGGAAAAAAGATAGTCAAATGTGGGACAAGGAAATACTGCCCCGAAGAAAGTGCACAGTACTACTCGAGAATCATAACTTCTCGAGGTGCTCGCGCTTTAATAGCGGCATTGGATGATCCACAGTATTTCAGCAACACGGCACTGTGTATTTTATCAAGTCTGGCTCGTTTGGCTATGTTGTTTATCCCTTCGCATTTCATTAGCAAGCTTTGATTCAGTAAATACAATTTGTGAAAACGTTACTCGATATATCGTGTTTGTCATCCTCCGTATGTAAATCACTGTAAATGAAAGAACCCGTAGATTTATCGACGAAAACACCTTTATCGATAGGGATTAATCGATACATGACCCAGCTGGTACCTGAACAATTCATCGCTAATTGATTTCCCTGATAGCGCGGAGCAATGCTCCTCCATGCTCCCACAAGTCTCAATGGTCGCAAGTTCCTAGATTAGAGAGAGAGAGAGAAATGTGGAAACTTTAACCCATGATTTTAACCGCAAGGGTTGCTGAAGATGACGTGACCTTAATGTCAAGGTGATGGTGGTGGTAGTGGTTATAAGAGGGAGAAGGCACCTCATTTCTGAAGCCCGATAAGGAGCGTGGCGTTGCGCTCGCTCACTGAATTTTGTGCTGACCGGTTGTGCCCCCGCGACCTCCGACGACAGCACAGCTCTGGCCGACAGGCTCACCCTACGCCATCTCCTGACACCGACAAGAGCTCTCGCTGAGTGGTGCTCCATTATCGGACTTCTGCGAACGTGTCCATCTTTCCTATCTTCTCCTTACTTCCATATGCGGCTTTCCCTGCACCTCTCTCTCTTCATACTCCTCTCTCCATCTTTATACATTTATTATCTATCCTTTTTAATCCCTCCTTACCCCCATCCCTCGTGAGCTACTGTTGAGGTGTCCTCCCCGTGAGAGACAGTTACGGGGCTCACTTTTATCTTCTTTTCATTTAAGACTCATCTCCCCTCCCCCCCCTCCCGACCAAGATGGGTGTTCTCTGTCTGGCCCAGTGTTTCTAGATATTTGCTCTGGCCTGACTAATGTCAAGCTTTCGAAAACATTCACGGCCAAATGCTGCACCAGTTGATGACACGTCGAAATACAAATCGCTTCTTTGCGTCAGTTGATCCAATAATGATCTGTATTATGTCATGTTTACCTCAATTATATTTTAGTCGACTGCTCAAAAACGTTTTGAAAATATTTCCAAAAAAAAAGTATTAATTTTGCGAGGTTTTCCAACATTCGCTAGGAAAGTGTTCTTCCTCTACCCACTTGTGGTAGGATATGCTATGCATTAATCCACTGCTACGTTTTTGGTAATCTGTTTCCGGTCTCATCATTGTCTCGCTTATTCACGTCTGCTGCGTGAACGTCCTCTGCTGTCCCTCATCAGAATGGCTGCAGTCGTAGGGAGGTTTGGCAGCGCGAGTTTCCTGCGACTACAGTCTGGATCACTGATCAGTAAGGTAAAATGCGCAGAAGATATGTTTCTCTGTGTAACTTTGTTGTGGTCTTTAGTAGGCGGTAATACCAGCTTGCACGGTATACGTACGATGCTGATACAACCACACGTTGTTTAACCCTTACACCGGCTGATCTTGCCTGTCGGTTTGACCAGTACATTTTGTGTAGCCAAATAAATGAAGCAAAAGTCGTGTATTGCTTTAGCTATCAGTTGCAGCTTGACTTTTAAATATTGTTTTAACGTGGACAGCCATTCTGCACATAACTGTGAACAGAACTCATCGTTGACCTGCGTATGTTTCATTTTCGTTTTTTGTTCTTTAAGTTGACGGAGCCTACTGAGCTAAAATTGAGACCCAAGACGAATGAAGCAATGTGCACGCTGTTGCTGAAATGGACCACGTTCTTAACTCAATGCACTTGCTTTCTAGGCTCATGCATCGACCTACACGCCATTGAGTAGGGGCAAGAAAGTCGTAAGTCGAAGCCAGCTTGACCTTGTCTCTCCAATTATTGTGTGATCACTCCATGCTCCCAAAATTTCCATTTCCCTACCTGCATTGACATTCGCGATCTTTAGAATGTGTGGTCACATATTGCAGCGTAACCAGTGTAGTACATGCTGTTGCCATTTTTGTGGAAATGACTCTCATTGTGACTTGCAACGTGTGTCCTGCCACGAGAAACTACTTTCGTTTTGATAAACCGTAATTTTTTTTAGAGGTTTCATTTGCAAGTTCTTGCGATGATCGTTCGTTTTAAGACAGGAAAACGTACGTGAACAGCCATTAAGGTACGTTATTTATTTCGTGTAGGGGCTTAATGAGGTGTTACACTTATCCACCATTAAACCATGTGCTAAACGATAAGCAGGATACTTTCCTCCTTTCTTATCTTCATTCATTATTGGCCCTAGTATCCGGTGTCAGAAGTGTTTAGTTTGGTGCTTTGTTGATTCATTCGAAGCATTAAGCTAATTTATTTCCTCGGGCCTTTGCTTATTTTAGCTGCTGCACTGAATCGTGATGCTGGTTCTGGCACAATGTTAAACTTATGACCTGGTTTTACAATCCAGTCTCTTAATCCTATAATAAAGAAACCTTTTTTAAGTTTTTCATACTGGCTGAAAGTTAGTGCATTTACTTCAAATTCTGGAACCCAACAAGCTGTTGAAGCTGCTCTGCTACAACAGGTTGTCACTGAATTTGACCAACTTGTACCATTTGTTTCAAAGAATTGGAAGCGTTGTCACAGTTGCATGCGCAATAGTGTAGCATGTACTATCAGAGCTGTAGTTAGAAAGTGTGAACTTGTAATCGCACATAATACGCAAAAGTTATTGCGTGGCAAAAACAACCCCTCAGAGTCTGCAGACCATTCCAGTTCTATGGAAATCAGAGAGCATTTCCAGAGCTGGTTAGCATGGCCAAAAGTATTCGGTTATAGAACACAGTAAATCAAGATTGTTTTAATCAATGGGATTATGAGCTTGGCAACTTTTAGCTCCTAAGACAAGTGGTACATAGTGAATTGTTGCTTTCTCTCTTTTTTTTTTTTTTTTTTTGCTATCCTATGTACTCAGCCTTGTATACCATGACCTTATCCACTTTGATGAGGCAGTTGCACGAATCCATTTTTGTCAATAAAAAAATTCTGTGGTTGATTTCAGTTTTTCAGCACTGTAGGTGTGGTGGGAGCCGGTGTAGCAGGTGTCATTTATGCCCTCAATGAATCGGTGAAAGCGTCCGACCTTACGTTACATCCACCCAAGCTGCCATGGTCACATAAAGAGACAGTGATCAGCGCATTGGACCATGCTAGGCAAGTACATCAACCAAAAAGAGAAAAAAGGTTCATTAACATCAGCTGTGTTGTTGCTGTGGTGGTCTGAGTGCTTCCATTCATGTGCTGGACATAAATGCCCTTTTTCGTATTCCCTGTAAAGTAAGTGCATGCTAGGTCGGGGTTTTGCAGCAATGCCCGTTTCCGTGGTACCCCTTTTCATGCTTCACCTGTCAGTGGAATAAAATGAGGGGATTTTAAGGGACCGTTTCTTCGTTTGGCACAACCTTTATGAAAACTAACAGATAATAAAAGCAAGGAAGATATGGGGACATTATTGTACCTGTTTAAGTGTGTTGTAGTAATTACAATATAGATGTGAAAAAAAAATAAGTGGCCGAAAAGACAACTTGTTGCCATCTGAGACCAAACCTACAACCTTTGGAAGTTGTCTTTTTATCTTCTTTACTTTCTTTTCATCTATTTTGTAATTATTACATTATATTTAAACAGTACGCTTAATGTCTTCTACACTTTCCTAGGTGTAGAAGACTTCCTTAGTATTCTACACCTTCCTGGGCTACATAACCCTAGCTCAAGGACGTGTAGTGGGTACTAGTGGGTACTCTGCTCGTTTTCCAAATGATGGACTATGGCGTAGTGGGTACTTTGCAACTGCACTTGCAGGAGCCATTCCATGAAAAGTTAGAATGGCCAATTTTACACACCCAGACATTCTTTTTCTTGTGTTATGGTTCAGGTGCTTGCTGAGAAGTGAAGCCTGGCCAGAGAACGAGGAGGCAATCGAGAGGGGCCTGATTAAACTAACATGTTCTACTCTTGAAGGCAATGCTCATGCGTTCTCCAAGTTCCTTTTACCTGAAATGACAGCAATGCAACCCGTAGTACTATTCCAAGCATGCTTTGATGCCACCAAATGAACTTAATTTTTGTTTCTTGTGTCACAGCCTGCGGCAAAATGAGCTCAGGGAAAAGGTTGGAAACACAGGTATAAAGACACAAATGGTGCTGCTTTCTGCAATGCTGTTTGTGCCTTTCATGATGCGTTCATGTTGTCATGTATTGTCAATATTTGTTTTGCCCTGCAAAACTCGTGACAGGCATGTGATATGTGCAAATTATGTCCAAAGCCAGCAGTAGCCTCATGTCACCGATCATGTATCGACATAACCAAGCCTTTTTCTAGGCTCTTGCACCTTTCTGTGCTGTTCGGGTCACTGTAAAGCAAGCTTCACTAAGCATGTGATAGCTATTCACCAGTCATTGCCATCATTGTCATGCTGTGTGCGTGGTGATCCCTGAAATCCCAGTGGACTTTAAATGTAATGTGTGCCATTAAACTCCTGGTGATGTGGACATACAAAAAAATTCTGTCTCTGGTTTCTCACAATATTTTCGCTTCTTCCTGTTGAGGTGCCAGAGTTGTGTAAATATTTTTTTGCCCTATATGGTACTTTTTCTGTACTAAATTTCAGGCATTTGTTTTGTCACATGATGCTGTGGCTGAACTAATCCTACTGTCCATGTGACAGTAAAAATTTAGGTATTATGGGAACAAGTCTCTTAAAGGGGTCTATTTTTTTTTTTTATTATTCAGATACCCTAAAGGCCCCGAAGGGCATTACATAGGGGGTGGGGGTGGGGGGACAATGTGTTGAGTACATTTCAATTCAAGAGCAAACACAGTCAAGAGCAGGCATGTAACAAAAAAACGGTAGAAAAGCAAACAAACAAACAAAAATAAATGGAAAAGAAATACAAAGCAAGTGCACATAGTACATGGTTCATGGCTCTGATAATAAAAATCGCTTCAAGTGGCTTACAAACAAATCGTGATTATGAATTGTGGCAATATCTTCTGGTAATCGATTCCAATGAAAGATGGCGAAGAACAATGGGGATTGACGAAGAAGATTAGTACGGGCAAACAAGGGGAGGAATTTTAAAGGGTGATCTAGACGCGGAAAAATGCGATGGGCAGGTTTGATATGCGATGCAGCAAATGACGACGCACTATGATAGAGCCGGTGGAAGTGACATAGTAATGCTAGTATTCTTCGTTTTTCAAGGGAGGGCAGCTGTAGAGATTCTTTAATGGCAGTTATGCTAGATGTGCGGGAATAGTTCTTAGTAATAAGACGTGCTGCTTTATTTTGCAAGGCGTCCAGTCTGTTTGTCAAGTATGCCTGGTTTGGGTTCCAAATTATAGACGCGTAGTCGAGTTTGGATCGAACTAATGAAGTATAAGCTAAAAGTTTAGTTGACTGACTAGCTAAATACAAATTTCGTCTGATGAAACCGAGTGTTTTACTTGCCTTGGAAATTATAGCATCAATGTGTTCATTCCACGTAAGGTTGGACGACAAATAGACACCCAGATATTTTAGCGTAGAAACGTTTTCGATAGCTGTGTTATTAATAGAATACGAATTTAGGTGCATGTTAGTAGACCTAGTAAATGTCATAGCTTTTGTTTTGAAAGCATTTATTTGCATTTGCCAATCCTCGCACCAGTTAACAATATTATCCAGGTCGGTCTGTAAAGTATTAGAATCTTCAGAGCTTTTAATTTTTCTGTAAATTACGCAATCGTCGGCGAATAACCGAACATTAAAACTTAAGTTATTGCCTACGTCATTAATGTAAACCAAGAATAAAATTGGTCCCAGTACAGAGCCCTCAGGCACTCCTGATTTGACTTCGGTTAAGGGGGAATCGTGGTCATTTACGGAAACGTATTGATAGCGCTTGGTTAAAAATGCTGCAATCCAATTGAGTACGCTGCTGTTTATGTTAAGCCGGGCAAGTTTCATTATTAGGCGTTTATGGGGTACTTTATCAAATGCTTTTGCAAAGTCGATAAATATGGCATCAATTTTGGGTGAGTCATGAACGGCCTGATGTAGGTCGGTTACAAGCTCAAATAATTGGGTTTCACACGAACGCCCTCGAAGAAATCCATGCTGATGAATATAAAAAAAGTTGTGCTTTGTAGGATACGTCATAACGGCTGATGATATGATATGTTCTAGAATTTTGCATGGTATGCTTGTTAAGGAGATCGGTCTATAATTTGAAAGTTCTGATCGGTTGCCATATTTAAATGCGGGAACGACGCGTGCGATTTTCCAGTCATCCGGTATGATACCGGTGTTGAGTGACTGTTGAAAAATGGCGGCTAAGATACAAGCTATAATTGGTTTAGTCATTTTGAGCAGTTTTGGACAAATGCCATCGGGTCCTGGGGCGGAATTATTTGAAAGTCGATCAATGGCACATTCAATTCCTTCCGGTGTGATGGTAATGCCACTCATAAAAGTCAAAATAGAAGCTGGTTGAAGATCAAGTGAAAGTGGGCTTTCATCCGTGAAAACAGGGCTAAAAAAAGAGTCAAGTTCGGTCGCAACCTCGGATGGTGAAAGTAATTCGCCTTCTTTGACTATATCTATACTCACTTGTGAGTTCCGTTTGGGATTGATTATATTCCAGAATTTTTTTGTATTTTTTAACATGCTGACAATATCATTATTATAGAATTTTTCTTTGAAATCTTGAATTAAAGATTTACAGTTTTTTGATGCTTCGCGATAGCGTTCCCAATCACCATCCGAGTTAGAGGACTTGGCTTTTGAGTACGAGCGTTTCTTCTTATTTATTGCTCTTTTTACGTGTTACGTGAACCATGCGCTTTGAGCTGGTGAAACGATTTCGACCTTGGGGATGTGCTTATGCTTCAGTTCGACTAGTTTGTTTTTGACACAGATCCAGTTATCATTAACATTGCGGTTACGCATTGTGCACAAAAATTCAACGCAAAAAGATGACAACTCTTGGAGGATAAGATCAACATTGTTTGTTCTAACTTGTTTGTTCTAACTTTGCCTTTATTTTTTTAACTTTGTTCTTTCATATTTCTGATCTGATTTTTATCTTCCTTCATTTTTTCTTTCATTTTAAATGTTATTGGGGTACTTTTGATAAGAACTACTGTCTATTAACACTGCCTCCATGATTGTGCACATGTTGACTTTGATGGGTCCAAGTGACACTCCAGCTGTAAACAGTGTTTCTGTAACATAGCATAACCTAGGCTTCCCACCTTGATCTTCTTAGCTCAGTTGTCATATTTTCTTCTGTTCGTCGCAATGTAAACAAAATAGTTAAATTTGCCATCATTAAGAGTCACCTCATGCTGTGGACGAGCTGTAAGCATTTGACGTAATTTTGGGGCCTCTGTGGCTGGATGCTTTGAGGTCTACTAGCGTTCAAAAAAACAAATGTTCTCTATAACAAACAATAAAATGGTGTCTATACCTTGTGTATACTTCAATCAGATCTGCTGGAAGAGAAATAGGAACACTCAAAAAGCAGGGATGTGTCCTTCCTTTCTGTGTGCATAGGTGTATATCTGCGGGGGGGGGGGGGGCAAGGGAGGCGCGAGCCCTCCCCCCTACTGAGAAAAGTTGGGGGGACTGAGTGAGGCCCCCTCGCCTTTTGACAGTGGTCACTTTGGGCTGCACGCTAGGGAAACGAAGAACTAAAACGAAGTTTTCTATCACAACAATAATCAATCATGTTCTTACGAAAGAATGAAAATGTTATGACGCAATGTTACAACATAGTGGAGTGTTGCCAACATTTCCTCTGTGATGATTTTCCTTGTGGGCTCTTTGCGGTGCGGGTCGCCTATGCGACACTTTCGCGTCTTATGCTGTAGTATTCCAGAGCAGGCAAGCACCGAACAGGGGCCCTATGATAGTACATCATTTGTTCATGCTTATATTTTGGTGCGACTTGTTAAAGTTACGGATGGGAAGGAGCTAACTTTTTAAAGACCAGTCAAAGCATTTGCTGCTTCCAGAAAACAATTTTCTTCAAAAAAGATATATGATCACTGCTGCTCTGTCGAAACTGTTGCGAGCCGATGAGTGTGACGAATCATTTTTGATGTTTGTTTTTTCGTACTGACACGCCAAAAATTGTTTCCGCTTTAGTCTCTGATAAACCTGATCAGCCTTGCTTATGGTAACTTGGAGCCATAGCGGCAGCTTGCAAAGTGACCACGAATAAAGCAGCGGAGTCGAGCTCAGTAGGAAGCTCAGCTTTTAAGCTTGCCCCACAACATAACCCACTATACCAGGAATAAGGTGGAAGACTGTGGTTTTTAGCACTATGGAGGCTCAGTTAGAAGTTGGGCTAGTTGGTTTTCACTCAATTTGAATTGTCTTTTGCAGCTCAAAATACACCTTGAACAGTAAAGAATCACACACGCGCAGCACTGCTTACTTCTCTCTATTCTTCTTTCTCTCAGCAAGCATGAGCTCACATTCAGAGATGTGTACGTGCACAAACTACTAAACACCGTTATGCTGCGAGTGGAAATATCTTATTGTACTCATAATCCATCTCACCAGCCGCTGCTTATGTGATTGGTAGCTAGCCTGCTTGAATTACATTTGGGAGGAGATGCTCTCCGGCTTTGCGACGTCGTGTAACAAGCAGGTGATTTTGTAGCACACAGAAAATTTTAAACGTCGAAGAACTAAGGGCAAACAAATGCCGTATTGAAAATAGTTTATTCTGTTACTTTTTACGTCGCCGTGCATAAGTGCTCATTTCGTGATGGATCATTTTCGTGTCATTTTTCGCCTCGCCTAACAAGCTGGTGCTGTGTGCATGACAAAGACTGTTTACATTAATCATATGCAGCTAACGTCCATTACGAAAGGAAGCAACGAAGGATAGTTGAAAGTTATAATCACCCACATTTTGTTCTTTCAAAGGAAAACTTTGTTTACGCCGTTTGTATTGGCATATTTATGCAGGGGCCTGGGGGTCTCTTAAGAAGTGTGAATACAAATACAATGAGTGTAAACAGTATAGTACGTCCCTAACACCACAAATTATATATTTTAAAAGAAAAGGGTTGAGAAGTTGATAAGTTAATAATAGTAATATAACATTAGCAATAGTATTAATTATTGCCTGCTCCAGAAACAGTTTTCAGATTATTAGAAAATATATGCAATATATGCAAGCAAGTGTAATACTTACTGTGAAAAAATATAACATCAGTTATTCTTGAAAAAACATGGTTGATCCCTCCGTCATGTGAATCTGCATGTAACACCAAAGTAAAGCGCGCCTTTACAGGAGTAATTAAATGTTTATTGTACATTGATAAAGGAGGATCTGCCCAATGTATGTTTTGGTGTTGGGAAGTTATAGCCCCCTTCAACGTGGATGTATCCTCATTGATGCTTGGTACATCTCTATCCCGATGACTAACATCCATGATAAATTTATTAAAGAAACCATTGTGGTATCTGTAGATGTTAACCACCAAAGCATTATCAGAGAAAGAGGCGTGATAGCGTGATATCAAGATATCAAGATGGGGATTGCATAATGGACGGGGAAATTGTGCTAAGGATGCCATTCCTCAGCCTGTTAAATGTTAAAGTGTGATTGAACTTCATGGTATCTAAGAAAGGGCGTCGTGTCACCTCTGTGTATGAATCAAAGTGCAAGCGCGTCCATGAAGTTCTCTGTCCTGATATGTATATTTTTTTTCTGCTGACAAGTGAGGTAGGTTTGCCCCCCTCCTCTACTCGCTTAAGAGTTGGTACGCCTCTGTCTGTGTGTTTGTCATTTTCCACACTGATTCAAAGTTAGCATCTTTGAGGTTTCCCAGCTTTCTACCTGACAACAATAGACTTTGTTAGTGTTAGATAAGACTTAGTGATAACTAAAGTTACCATTTATTCCTTGGTATCATGATGAAGAGCTATTAACATCAGCGAGTTAGGTTTGAAGCTGTCAACCTTGCACTGCCTTGTTATGTAAATGTAGCATATAGCAGGAACTAACTGACGCCTAGTGGACTCCTCATAGGTGCAGACATGGTAGCTGGTAACACTAAAGTCATAAAACTCTGCTGAAATGCTTTATTGTTTTCAAAAGTATCTGCATTGTCTTACATAGCTGACCTGCTGTTGAGCACAACATTATATATGTTCCATTTCTGGCAATGGCAGCTTTATTCTAATCGGGGCAAGATGCAAGAACGTTTTTGTGCTGAATAGTTCAATGGTGACACATGATCTTGTGGATTCACATGCATGTTTTGCATAATTACAAAGCTGGTTGTAATATGTCTTTTTTTTTCCCCCAGCATTCGGAGGGGTTACGAAGTATACAAGCAGGTCTGTGCGGCATGTCACAGTATGCGTTACGTAGCGTACCGCAACTTGGTTGGGGTGTCGCATACCGAGGCTGAAGCCAAAGCAGAAGCTGAATCAGTGAGTGCCACAACTACTTCTGCTTACTGCTTGTTTGCTTTTTGTATTTATTTCACTTTGGGGAAAGGGAGAGGGTTTAATTTTAGAGGATATTCTAGGTGTGTCAAGTGTGTTTTCTAGGATAGATTTATTATGGATACTCCAACAGAGTTTTTAAACTTTCATCACTAATCACAATTTCCATGCAACACCAGGCAGTCCATATTGTGTTTCATTGACTTATTGTTGCTCGGCCACGTCAAATATGTGGAAATTGTCAGTGCAAAAAGTCAGTGCACAGGTTTTGTTTTTGTTAAATGTTAGGTCTTGTATTATTTGAGCTGGCTCAACCAAAATACACTAAGAGAACTGCTTGTTAATTTGAATGAATAACAAAGTTCTAACTGCTTGTTAATTCAGGGGTGCAACAGCTGCGCCAGTCTCGCCAATTGGATACAATTCGCTATTGTTGCGCCGAGCTGTGCGAAAATGCCTGACTAGCCTCAAAATTATCTCAGGTGCGGTAACTTCAGTGAGAAATGGAGGCCACACCTGCACTTTGCATCATCAATCCAAGCGTGCAGACCCTAACCCTAAACCACGGTCTAAGTTATATACTCATTCAGTGAGGACTCTTGCGAGACATGATTGACCAGATAAAGTAACAACACTGCGCACCCATTGGTTGGCTGACCACTGCAGTCATTTATCGGTGGGACGAGAGAACTTCAAAACGAAATTGCATTGTGGTAGCTACAAATGCTTCACGGGAAATATTGATTTCCTAGTCAGCAAACGTGTTTATGGCATGTTAAAAACAAAAGCTTGAAGCATATGCCACTGTTGCCAACCACCATGTTGGTAGCCATAGAAATGGCACATAAAACATTTTTCTGGTCGTGAAGTTGCGTTGTCCCGACAATAAGTATCCGGCGTCGCCACCGGGCGAACAAGCGCTCACCGGTGTTACTTCGAATGCACCTTGCAAGCGAGTGAACAAGTTGTGCCATAAACCTAACCCCACCATGATAGGAAAAACGGGGGGGGGGGGGGGGGGGGGGCTGTAACAGTTCAAAAATTTCTTGGCCTTGTTCTAACTCGTGCCGAATGCTGCTTCTTCACCGCAGTACACCGGTATTCGCGGAAAGGTGTATTATTATTTGGAAGGGGCTGTAATCGCTAGTCACGGGACACAGAACATTTTGTTCAATTACACATAAGTGTATTTGCCACAGAATTGGGAGCACTAGTGTAGTGGTTACTCTAAGAAAGTGACATCTAAAAAAGTTACTGGCAGTCACTTGGAACAGCGAATGACATTTCTGCTGCCCTAAAAAAAAAAAAAGAACCTTATACGCCAGTCTTTTTTTTTTTTTTGCCACCCCTACTTCTCGATTTTATGAATCTCCCAAGTTTCAAGGTCGCCAGCTTGGCAGAGACACATTTGAATTCATAGAGTCTACCGAAGGACTTGACCGGCATGGCAAATGCTAATATGGACTTCATCATTCTTTGCTCAGTGGGGTAGTTCAGAATTCTACTTTTACTATTGAAACAGTAGTGCTCATGTTCACTCTGCATGACTTAGGGGGGTCGAATGCTTTCTACATATATATTTTTTTCTAAATATAAACCTTCTTTTTTATACTGCTCTAAATTTGGTCCTTTATGATAAGAATTTTGTTTTTTTCCCTTGTAACCTGCTCCAAAGTTGGATTGTAGGGCTCCAAGAGTAACATTTTGCTGCTACAAAAATTGCTCCAAATTCTCTTTTGGCTGTTGGACCCTTGTTAATTGAATTACTAATGGAATGTTTTTTATGCACAGTATGGTTTTTCTTGTTTATGAAATAATTAATATCGGTGATTTTAAAGATGTGTGGTTCTTTGATTGATTTGTGGGGTTTAACGTCCCAAAACCACCATATGATTATGAGAGACGCCGTAGTGGAGGGCTCCGGAAATTTTGACCACCTGGGGTTCTTTAACGTGCACCCAAATCTGAGTACACGGGCCTACAACATTTCCGCCTCCATCGAAAATGCAGCCGCCACAGCCGGGATTTGATCCCGCGACCTACGGGTATTTATATATATACAGTTGAACACCCCGTATAAGAAACACGAATGGAGGAGCAGTTCTTATCCCTTTTACGAAGTGTCTTTTATAAGCAGGGTACCACAATCTCATTTTCTGATCACATCAGTATCTCTTATAAAAGGGTTCCACTGTGTATGTATATACATATGTAATATGTCCAGCACTTTTTAACTGGCTACATTGTGGAATGTACAGCAGTTTGTAAAAGCTGGTAAGATTGCTAGTCATATTCACTTGAAATTAAATTGATAGTACAACCAGTTTTGATATACGAACAGCTATGCTTGCAGGAGAAATGTACTTTTCTAATAAAACACTATTTTATATATTAAGGCACAAAGAATTGCATGAATGGTTTTAAGGTACTTTCTCATGCACTCTGGGCATGAAGATCTCTGAACTGAGGTCATTCTTAAAATTCAAACCTGGCCGTGGCTGCCATAAAGTTTATGGAGGCGAAATTTTCTTAAGGCCCATGTACTTAGGTAGATTTAGGGGCATGTCAAAGAACCCCAGGTGGCCGAATTTTCTGGAGCCTTCCATTACACATGATCTTTGAATGATCTTAATGTGCTTTTTAGACATTAAACCTCAATTATTATTAAAATTCACTCCAAGTGGACATGCCTCCATAACTCACTGTCTGTAATTGCCAATGTAGAATGTGAGCTGCAAAGTAATTCATTAAAACCTTAATGGCTGAAATTGGGATAAAACAGTCGATTGTGCATTTGCATTTTTTATGCAATGAATGTCTGTTTGTTTAATTATTCCAGCTGAGGGACTACAACTCTTCTGTGACAAGCAAATGAATTTGTGTAAAAAAACAATTGCTGCAATAGTCACATTGTTATGTGCAGAGGTTGGTTTTGTCTTTGTTATAAGGGTGAGTCTTTGCAATCTACCTACGAATAACTCACTACCTGCAAACTTAATTTTTTGACAGGTGCAAATCACAGACGGCCCTGATGACCAAGGCAACATGTTCGAGCGGCCAGGGAAGCTGTCTGATTATTTTCCATCACCGTATCCGAATGATGAAGCTGCTCGCGCTGCCAACAATGGTGCTCTCCCACCGGACCTCAGTTTCATCACTAATGCTCGGCATGGTGGTGAGGTATGTATGACCTGCATCCTTTCTTACACGTACCTTTGTATGTTTTTATATTTTTGAATTTTATTTTCCAGGCCCTGTGCATAAATTTGTAATCGGCGTTGTGTCATATACCACCATAATGCTTCATTTAAAGAAAAATCGTGCTTCAAAGTTCCACATACCCTTAGAGTAATCAAAATTGCCAGCCGATAGCAAGATCTAACATCACATATGCCCTCAGTGACCTTTACTGTCCACTAGGTGGAGCTATGTTTTTTTATTTCCGTATTGCAAAAGTGCAGCCAGAACGAAAGCTGACACTATTACGTAGACATGGCATTTTTTTTCTTTCACATGCAGTTAATGAGCACTACAACCGAGCAAGCTGATTAAACACATCATCACTAGTTTGTACGGTACCTCCATCTGTCCAGCTCTTTCCTCTTTCCATGCTTTCATCGCAATTCACACATAGTACCCAAAAAACGCACAAAAAAACCTTGCAGCGCTTAAATTTCGGATGTATATTTATAAATGTAGCATCTTATAGTGATTACCCAATCATCAGTTTTTTTTCCTAGAAATGGTGTGCACTTTGGCCATAATGTTGCCAGCTAATAAAATTAAATTCAAGGCTTTGTTTTCGATACATTCAGCTACTAGAAGTGACTGTTGTAAGTCAAATACCTAGCAAGTACAAACGATCCAGGATATATTGAACTCAAAGGGGATCGTGAAATAGTTCGATATATCAAGGATTCGAAATACAAAATGCACTCAAACCTTGTTGTAACATAACGGGATATAACAAAATAATGGACATAACAAAGTAAATTAAATTCCCCTTGAAATCTTCATTGAGAACCACGCTTTTTAAACCTCGTTGTAATGAAGTAAAATTGATGGGTAAATGGATATAACGAACTAAATTAGTCTATCAAATAATCTATCACAAAAAAAACTGACCATAGTGTGTTAAGTATATTGTGTTCTGGGGAGTTCGACGCTCGTTCGGCGTGGCTTTTTCAAAACTACCGTGCCGACCTTACAGCCACGCCACACGCGGCCGAAAAGCGGTCGTCCTCACACAGCCAGCGAAGAGGATTGAGGAAGCGCTCAGTGGGTCACAAGACCGAGGAGCGGCACCGCAGTGCAAAGCGATTTCCCTCTCAAAACGGCAATGACTGCGTCTCCGCTGCTACCCTCTTCACCGAGAAAGGAGGACTCTCCACGACAGTTTTTCTTTTTTTTTTTCCTCTCTCTCCGCGTGCGTCCTTGAAAGGAGAAGGGTCTCTACGTGCAGAGACGGAAAAGGGAGAAGCGTGGCACAGGCGTGTCGCAGATTGGCATTTGAGAGAGAGCAAACAATCTGCCACAGTCTTTTCTTTCCTTTTCTTCTTTTCCTTCTTCGCGCGCAGCGTTGAGAGGTACCGCCGTGGGATTGGGCATAGTGTTGAGAGCATTTTCGGAGCACGGTATGTTCGAATTAACTGTCGCAAGTGCTCGCACGTTCTAATTACAGAGCGTTTCCGCCCATTGGAATACACATAGCTTTGACAGGACCTTAGCGTGAGTTCAAATTAACCGGAAGTTTGAATTAAGTGTGTTCAAATTAATAAGGTTACACTGTGCTTAATTTTCGTTGCACGCATGGTCACGTAGCGGTACATCGGGCCGCGAGGCGATTTCCTTCTTTGCATGATTATAGGTGTGCGCTCATCTGAGCATACATTGCAACAAACTGTTATAATCGATATAACAAAATATTGGATATAACGAAATAATTATGGCTCCCCTATCAACTTAGTTATAACAAGGTTTCAGTGTATGCATATTTAAGGCCTAAATTGAAGAATTTCAAGCCTCAGAATTGTTACAATAGCTAACATAACGATTCGCTCAAAAACAAGGTGCGAACTGCAGGTTACCCCACTTTCAGTTTGTAAACTTGTCTTGCTTCTTGCATGCCGACAAGTTTCAGTCATCCTTAATATTCTTACAAGAAAACGTATATTTACAGATATTTACAACGATTACAAGCGATCACAATGCCTGGCGCACTGGCGGGCTGGAACCAGTCTCTATCCACTTCGTAGTCTTCCCTTTTTGCCAGGGACCCTCTACCGCTTTATGCCCCAATCCCACTACTGCCTTGTGGCACTACCCCGCGGCGTTAAAGCGCCGACCCGGCGCTTGTCACGAAAGGGGAGTGTTGGGTGACACATAAGGCTTCAGTCTGACGACGTGCACAACAGTGGATGGTGGGGGCATTGAGTGCGCTTCGTCGACGACTCGCTGTATCTCGTAGGTGAGGTTGCTGATCTTGCGAAGGACTTTGTATGGTTCGTCATAGCGAAATAAAAGTTTTTCGGAGAGGCCGATGTGACGACATGGGGTCCACAAGAGTACGAGAGAACCTGGTGCATACGAAACTTCACGGTGGTGACGATCGTATCGATCTTTCTGAGAGGCTTGAGAAAGCATGAGTTGTTCTCGGGCAATCTGTCGTGCTGCGTCGGCTCGCTCTATGGCATCGCGGACGTATGTGACAGGGGAGCTTGAACCAGCGGGAAGGAGTGTATCAAGAGGCAGAGAGGGTTCCCGTCCATAAAGAAGGTAGAACGGGGAATAGCCTGCGGTGTCATGTCTGGAGGAGTTGTAAGCGAAGGTGACGTAGGGTAACGTTGCGTCCCAGTCACGGTGGTCTGGAGAAACATACATTGACAACATGTCCGTGATAGTGCGATTCAGGCGCTCTGTAAGTCCATTAGTTTGTGGATGGTATGCCGTTGTGAACTTGTGGTTCGTGGAACAGGAACGTACGATATCCTGGACGACGCGAGATAAAAAGTATCGGCCTTGGTCAGTAACGAGCTGTCGAGGAGCGCCGTGATGCAATATGATGTCATGTAGCAGAAAGTCGGCGACATCGGTAGCGCAGCTGGTTGGAAGAGCGCAGGTGATCGCATAACGTGTCGCGTAGTCGGTCGCCACGGCAACCCATTTGTTCCCGGATGCAGAAGTGGGAAATGGCCCGAGAAGGTCGAGCCCTACGCGGTAGAATGGTTCAGCAGGGATCTCAATAGGGTTAAGAAGGCCAGCTGGACCATTCTACCGCGTAGGGCTCGACCTTCTCGGGCCATATTATTGAAGCTTTTCAAATAAGTGAACTTAGCTCTTTCGGCCACAACGTTGATTGACGCAGAACGCCGATACAAGCTTTGTAGCACGGCAAAAGCTTGATTAGCGGCGGAAGCGAAGGTGTTGGCACATTCATAACCACACGGCTACACTTCCGCGTCACCGGCAACGGCAGCCGAAATCTCAGCATCTGAGCCAATTAAGTCACTACTCTCCGAGATGGTCCCCAGAAACGCTGATAAGTCGCAGAATTCACTGAGGCATCGTACGCTGTTGTCAGCGGTGATGACGCACCCGAAGTCGTCACCTAGCTCGCAAGGAACGTTTACGGCAGTGTTTTACTTGACGCCGCTCCAAGCGCCAGTCATAATTTTTATCACTACGTGCGGGTCAACGTTCAGTTCAACTCCCGAATGAGGATTTATCAGGAACGAGGCAAGAAGGCCACGAGGCGCAAAAAACCGAGTTCCTCGAAGTTCTCACTGTCCACATGTTGCCGATATCGATGTCACTGTGGCTTTGTAGCTGGCAGCGGCTGCTTTTAGCGGCTTTGATGCGAAACGATTAAAAAAAAAAGCGTAGCCTCTGAAACCGAAAACACTGCCCCGCCGCGGTGGTCTAGTGGCTAAGGTACTCGGCTGCTGACCCGCAGGGCGCGGGTTCGAATCCCGGCTGCGGCGGCTGCATTTCTGATGGAGGCGGAAATGTTGTAGGCCCGTGTGCTCAGATTTGGGTGCACGTTAAAGAACCCCAGGTGGTCTAAATTTCCAGAGCCCTCCACTACGGCGTCTCTCATAATCATTGAGTGGTTTTGGGACGTTAAACCCCACATATCAATCAATCAAACCGAAAACACTTAAAAAATATGTCACAAGGTTGCACATCTCGAAGGCCATGCTTTTCAGGCTCGCATGCCATTGTGCGCTAACAAACAAGGAAGGGGATGCGAACCATATGCGAACATTACTCCGAGATCACAGAGTCGCTTTGCGTTCTCTTTCAGTGCCCTCGCCAATCGGTCTTTTGGAAAACAATATGCTCGCGCATTAAGACCTGCAGATTGCGCATCAAATGTACCGATGTACACTCAAGTGCCGCACAACGAACCAAATCAGCGCGATGAAATGAGACCATTATTTCTTCGCCTGCGCGCGAAAAAGGAATGGAACTTGTTAGAACGTGGCCTAAAATTGATCAATATTTGCTAGAAAAATGCACTTTCTGGGCTTAGACGCGGCGCAGCATTCGATATAGCGGATGTCCCACTGTGCGGGAGTTCTATATACGGGTACACCGGTCCCACACTTTTGCATGGGAAATTCAAGGGGATTTTTCAACTGTTCGATATAGCCAATAATTCTATTTATGTGAGTTCGATATATCCGCGATCGACTGTACATACAAACGAAGTGGCAAGTCATTGAAGGGCAATGACGTCAACTATTCGAGCATAATGCTGAAAGAATGAGCCAGTCAAAAGGACAAAGGGCAAGAAAGAAGAGTGGCACACACATCAACTGAACTAACCATTCAAACAACAAAATATCATAGGTCTTCGAGAGAACCGAGAATAAGTGGATATAAATGCTGTTTGTGGATGTGTTCTGCTATTATCTAATGTTAGGATCCTTCGTAGAGGCGGGTCAAGGTGAAATGTCAAATTCTCGAAGCATATCATGTCAACATTATGGTCTCCAGAGCACAGCATGGAGTCGCATGGTATGTTTGGCGACACACACAGCAACCATAGAGTATAATGCTCATTTTTTGCTCTCCTTCGAACAGTTCTGTGCAAACCGCTGAATTAATTTTTCTGGTGGCCACCATCACCGTACTTTATCAATTGTTTGCTGTTACTAATAAGCCATTGTAAAAGAAACTAGGCACTCTAAAAAAAGTGAGCGTGCAGGGCTTCTATAATGGCATGTGAGATAAAAGATTGCACAGACATAGATAGTAAATATTTTACTATCTATTTATGTTTTAGTAAATATTGGCAGAGTTATTAAATAGTAATACCTAATCGGCATCCTGACTGCAGCATAGTCATGTTCTTGTGCACTTGACAAGAAACTCTGCAGAAAGCCATGAAAAAAATGTGCTTGCTTACAGATACAGCAGCCCAATTGCAAGGTTCACTACAAACAGTTACTTCATTCTATGTACTCAAAACTTTTTTTTTTTCAGCTGTGGCCAGGTTTATAAGTTGAAGTGTCCCTGCAAGGCGACCACATTTGCCAGCAAGTACACTAACTAGTTGGTAACAATATTCATAAGTGTGTCAGTATGCTGCCTGTGTAGTTATCTTGAGCAATTACAGATCTTCAGAACACCTACATCGACCTTAAATTTAGTTCTTTCAACTATATTGTGCAGAACTGATGATAGTTAAAATTTTCAGTTCAGGTTTGGTTTGGGTGTGGGCATGTTCCAAGAGAACTGTTAGGATACTAAAATTTCAGTTCGCATACAGTATTCAAAATGGGTTTGATTCAAAATCCTAGTTTTGATTGCTGTGTCTTTGGAAAGTCAGATCATTCTTATTGTTCAGTGCTTATCTATTGTGTTGAGGTAATTGTGGTTGCATTTCTACAGGACTACATCTTCTATCTGCTGACTGGCTACTGTGATCCACCGGCCGGTGTGAAGGTTCAAGATGGTCAGTACTACAATCCATACTTTCCCGGAGGAGCAATAGGCATGGCCCAGGCTCTGTACAATGAGGCCATTGAGTATTCTGATGGTACGCCAGCTACTGCGTCACAAATGGCCAAGGATGTGTCCACTTTCCTTAAGTACTGTACTGAACCAGAGTTTGATGATCGAAAGCGCCTGTTCATCAAGGTGAGTGTTATAGCAGTCCTTTCACATAAGATTGGAGCTACATTAAAACAGTACCACAGACAATTACATTAATAGATGAAAGACCTAGCATAATTATGAGCTTTCAAGGGCCAGTAAACAACCCAGAGGTCCAAAAATGTTAATGAAGAGAAATATGCGCACTTTTGCAAGTGAACATGCTGGCACAAAAATTTCGCAGGTATGTGCTATAATAAGGAAGTTGCAGGAGTTGGAACATCCTTCTTCGCCATAGGCAGGGGAAGAAGTAGCCCTTTGTCGTGACTTTGCTCATTTTGGCAATGTCACATGACGTGAGTGATACATCATCGGCGCTCAACCAACGACCGAGTGGGGCTTCCCCCCACATGACCATGTGTTGTAGCAGTGTGGGCAGGAAACGCTTGAAATGCTGTGCGAGGAGCACTTATCCCGTTGTGGTAATGTAGTGAGATGCCCCTTTATGTTGGAGGCTTTCGTTCTGACAATACCACTTCTCCGTGAGTCTCGGGCTCTACAAAACGGCAGAGGGCAGCACAGAAAAATGAAAATGCATTCTGCATGACTGAAACTGCATCGCCGCAGGTTCAAGGCGCCATTTCACAGGGCAATGAACCAATTGACGAGCTTAGTGGTGCATAACGTTGCCCGTGGGGAACCTTTTGCGAGACTGCACATACGAGGGGGAGTGGTTAGGCAAGGGAAACAGGTACGGCATTGTTTTTCAAAATGGAGGGTCTTGCACGGCGCGCAGCGCTGTAATATTCAGCAAATGTGTTCACCGTGGTCTACTGTATGATTTGGCGAGCTTGTTTGGGGGGCGAGCCTGTTTACTGGCCCTTTAAATATTCAGAACAACAGTTCGCTTGTTTGCTCAGATGATCGCTAGCTAAGCAGCTGTGCAGTCATCCTTACATAGGGAGTTTTAGCTCGGGCTGTACTCTGATTCTGCATGTTGAAATACAATATAACCCACTTTTATCATCATTATTTTGCAATGAAATTGTATTGTTATAACCAGTAGTTTTAGCTGGATTGCTGGAAGAAAACAAAGAAGAGGGACAGCAGATCTACTATAGGTAGATAAATAAGAGCAGGGCAACCGGTGCCCCATCCCTCCTATTTTGAGCTGCAGAGTGTGTTAGCTCGTTCAAATTAATAAATGAAATTGGCAATTATCTCATGTGTTTATTCTCCGTCTTCATTCTGTAGTACCAATAAATTCCAACTAACTTGCCAAATTTTGCATTTTATTCTGTAAATGGCCTTCCTGTTTTGCATGATGCCAACACTCTGCTTTCCCTACTATTGGGAGCTATCACCGTTCTCAGGTAAAGACCGAAACTTTAGGCAAAATGCCCATTTTTTCCTGGAGTTCGTTTGGAGCATACTTAACATATAAACACAAACTAAGGGATGGGAAACATTTTAATCACACAATTCATGTGCCTATATGTGCCTGTTCAGAGGTTTGTGCCTATATCAACTTTTCTGTGCCTAAAAATGCCTTGTCGCATTCGTGAAGTAAACGTTTTTTTTTTTAATGAGCTGTTCATATGAGAGAAAACAAGAAGCACTTGGTGTGGCCATATTAACGATCCACGTACATAACGCGCTAGTTTTTTTTTATGTCTTCAGCTCTTAGTAAGGTGCAATTATGGTTCGACGTAGGGGTGACACGCGCACACGCTGTATCATGTCAGCAAAAATAGATCATAGGTCGACGCACTGCCACAGCCAACATATAACTATACTTAGCCGATGCGCTCTGTCGCAAGTGACATTTGCCAATGCTCCAATAACGTCGCATCTATAGCGCTAGCGTGCCCACCTAAAAGATTTCCGTCGCTTGGTTCGAGAGTAGTATAGCATGGCGGTTGCATGAGCGTAGCTAGAGTGTACTGTAGTGAAGCGAGGAGAGGATAACGCAAGTGTACCCCCTGCCCCTTGGAAGAACCAGTCACTAGATTCGGGAGTAGTGCAGCTTGGCGCTTGCGTTTGGGAGGCTAAAGTATAGTGTAGCTAGAACGTACTAAGCTAGGCTAGCGCCAAAAGTAAGCTAAGCTAGCGCTGCTGCCTACAGCCTACTCGTAAGTTTCGTTGGCATTTATGTTCTTCATAACGGCAGCTGTCGGAAGTCTGCCGAGCAACGCGGAATAAAAAGAAGTCGTAAAGTGTCCTTTTTGGTTGATGGACCAGTGGATCACAGCGCTATTCCATTGATTGAGAAACGGTCCATGTGGAAAGCAGGGAAGAAGACATAGGAAAGGTCAACAATATTTTGAGTTTGATGTCAACTCTGAGCACGCATAGGCATAAAGCTCCCCACATTGCTTACGCAACTAATGTGTATATTATGGTCGTTCCACGGGCACACAGATTTATTTTGTTATTTTTATATCCGCATCTGTGAACTTGCATGCGCAGAACTCGCATGCACCCATTACACAGAATGCAGCCATATGCGAAAATTCACTGACACAAGCCACCTTCAACTTTATTTCTTACACTGTATAGTAATCCACAGTTTAAACTTCTTGAGTAACATCATGCAGTAAAATGTATGCACTAAGTGGTTGAAGAACGCACCAGGGATCGAATATCGTTGTCGCGTTCAACGCTTAAAGGCAAGCCTTAAGGATACCCGTTTTTTTTTTATGTGCAGGAATGGTTCCCCATCCCCAATAGATCGGTCCCTGACAGGGTTGCCTCAAAGCTTAAATGTGCCTTGGAAAGAATCCCGAATTGTATGTGCTAGAGCAAGTGCCTTAAGTTTCGAGAATGCAATTAAAGCATTGAAAGTGCTAGATTACAAGTATGCTTCACTAACTTCAGTGGATGTCACGCATTCTTTTTCGCATAAAAGCAAATACTGACTGAATGAAAGCAAGCACAATTCAAGCCTGAAAACCTTGAGATGATGCTGGTTTGTCACTGTTTTCATAGCCTTTCCCACAATGTCAAACTACCTCAGCTTTTGCCTAAATATCTTCAAATGATTTTGCTTCTTGTTAGTTCTTTTCATGGAGGAGGAAAGAGCTTTATTCTGAGTCCGGTGAGTAGATGGGGTGGGCAATTGGCCCTGCCTAGGTTACAACCAGGAGTCCTTGAATCCTGGCGGCTTCCTCGGCCCGCTGGACGGCCCCACTCCCACTCGTCTGCCGTGCCGTAATCACCGGAGGAGGCTGGGGCGGCACTTGATAGGGCGGCTCGGTCGGTGAGCCCTCGAGCTGCGTCATGTACAGCCCCGTTGTTGCTGTCCCCCGCGATGGCATGAGCAGGTGTCCATATAATGTATGTATTTTTGGGGCTTGTTCGACACCCTCCTTCTAGAATACGTAGTGCCTCCGGGGAGATGCAGCCGTTGGCAATGTTTCTCACTGCCGTTTGAGAGTCACTGACTATCACGGTTGCGTTTGTCTGAGCTACAGCGAGCGCTATGGCTACCTCTTTCGCTGTCTCTGTACTTGTGGTGCGTATCGTCGCGCATGTCGTACAGCGTTTGTTGCTATCGATTACGGCTGCAGTAAACCCCCGTCTGAGCTTGTATCGAGCAGGGTCTACAAAAACTGCGTCCTTGTCATTACCGAACTTTTTTTGTATTTGTTTTGCTCTTGTCTCTCGTCTGGCCTTATTGTGTTCGGGGTGCATGTTTTTTGGCAAGGGGGGTATCATCATTGTTTCCCTGGCCTCTTTTGGGATGTCTACCTTCACGCCGTGTTGTGTGTGATACGTTATGCCTAGTCGCTCTAGAATATGTCTACCTGCTCGTGTATTAGAGAGACGTTCATTTTGCACCGTACGCTGCGCCTCAATGAGCTCATCTATGGTGTTGTGCAGGCCTAGCTGTAACAGTTTGTCGGTGCTTGTACTAATCGGTAGTCCTGTAGCTAGTTTGAATATTTTTCGAATGAGGCAGTCTAACTTGATCTTTTCTGTTACTTGCCATTTTAAGTACGGCGCTACGTATACTATTCCGCTTATCACGAATGCCTGTATCAACCTTATTGTGTTTTCCTCCCTCATGCCACTGTGCTTAGTTGCTATCCTTTTTATGAGTCTCGTTATTTAGGCTACAGTTGCATCCAGTCGCCTGAGGATTTCTCCATTGTTGCCCCTGGCTTCGATGAGCAGACCCAGTATCCTGATCCTGTCGACTATGGGTATCGTTTTTCCATCGGCTGTTCTTAACTGTATTTCTTCTCTATGAGCAAGATCTTGCAGGCAGTTGCCTGGTTTGCGACCTCTACGAGTAGGTCTGTACAGCAACAACTCCGATTTTTCCACAGAGCAGGCTAGCCCAGTACCTTCCACATACCACTCGACCATTTCGACTGCTGTTTGAAGCGTTTCCTCTATTTGACCATCACTACCACTTCCACCCATAGGGTGATGTCGTCTGCATATATTGTATGATTCAGTCCTTCGATTGCTTGGAGTTTGGTTGGCAGTCCATTAGAGCCAGACTGAATATCATAGGTTATAATACCAAGCCTTGCGGCGTACCTGCACTGCCCATCTCAATTTTCTCCGAAACTAGGCCCCCTATCATGACCTTTGCCTTCCTTCCCGTCAGGAAATTACGCACGTAATTGTACGTCCGTTGTCCCAGATCTAGATCGTTTACCCTTTTTAGCACCGTTGCATGGGTTACATTATCAAAAGCCTTCTTGAGGTCTAACCCTACAATGGCCTTTGTCGCTGTTCCCGGATTATCTATAATCTGATGTTTTAACTGTAGCATTGCGTCTTGCGTTGAGAGGTTCCTCCTAAACCCTATCATTGTGGGTGGAAGTGCATCCCGGTCCTCGAGATAGGTAGTTATCTTCTCCAGAATTACGTGCTCCATAAGTTTACCCACGCAAGAAGTGAGAGATATGGGTCTCAAGTCCGCAATCTGCAGTCGCTTGCCTGGCTTGGGTATTAACACGATTTTTGCCATCTTCCATTGTTGCGGAATCTGTCCTGCCTTCCATGATTTGTTAATCAATTCAGTTAACTTA